CGTCTTCCCCTAGTATCTCTCCTGGGGTTATGTCGCTGGGACTCCAAGTCCGCCATGGGAGGGACAAAAGGTAATCCTTCACGCCTTGTGCCCCCATCTGGAGTTTGCCCGTCGATGGTGGAATGTGGCAATTCTTCAATGTGCGCCATTGTTTGTAAAGAGGAGAAGCTTTTAGTCAAGAGGTTTTGTTCTGTCTGTAATTCCCACAGACGGTGGTAATTGTACGGGAAAGAAATAAACCTTCTCGTATAATCCTGTTGACCAAGTCTACTCTTCTCCGTACGTCGTCGCTTTATCACCTGAAAACACAAACGTGAGCTAGCCGGCGAGTGTGTGTCGGAAACCTCTCCGATGCCTAAGTCAGTAAACTTGACAAATAGACAAAAGTTCTGTGTATTCAGAAAGCAAAGTTGTGTGTTACCTCTCCAAAGGTGATGTTGTAAGCTTTTATAGGTTTCGTGTGACATAATCCTAGTAGGACTCCTACTCCTCCATACAGAGTCCTCCTAGGATTCATACTCCTGAAAGATAATGCTTATCCTTCAACACCCCCCTCACTGCTTAAACCAAGTGAGATGGTTATTACCATGGCCGAACTCCCACATGACCGAAGTAATCATGGCTATGCCGAGCCACAGAGTAAGTCGTACTATCCTCAGTTCGGTTCTTCCTTCTTCTCTTTATCTCGGTTCTCTTATGTACAAACCATGGTATGTTTAGACCGAGCTACCGAGTAGCAAGGTTCTGACCGTTCTAACCATAATACGCCATGACCGGACTAACTCTGAGACCGGCCTAACTCCTAGTTGCTTCCGGACCGAAGTAACTTTACATTCCTCGGCCGGAGTAATTTTGTACCTCTCTCGGGTCGGAGTAACTTTTACGGCCTTTTTACTCAGCCCTTCGTATTATGGGCCATAATGTCATCTCCCAGCTCGGCCCAATTTTTACAAAAATTACCCTCTCAATTGCCCCTTAATTCCATCTGCGCAGCATGATAAGGATTACTTGTCTATCAACCGGGCTGAAGTTTTTAAGCCTTTCCGGCCGAGCTAAAAACCCTTAGCCTTTCCAGCCGAGCTAAAACTTCTTAAGCCTTTCTGCCGAGCTAATTTTACACCGGGCTCTGCTTGTCCGGTCAAAGCGTCTCCTCAATCACAGCAATTGAATCGTTTCTCCTTCCTGGACACGTGGCACGCACTGATTGATTGAGGACGGCTGTCACGCTGTCTTCGTACTTCGTGAAATTTGAACAGTCCCGCCCTTTTTTTTTTCCTTTTACCTAAAACGAGTCTCATCATTTCAACACACTTTACAACTTCTCTCTCTCTGAGCCTCCATTGCTTGTTCATTTTCTGAGCTCGTGTTTTGCTGCCTTTTGCTTCCATCTTCAGTTTCTTGCGTCTTCTTCTGGTTAGTATTGCACCTTTACTTTGTTTTTATATATTGCTTTCTGTGCTCTGCTTTCTGTGTTTTTGCAAAACATTTTCTTCTGTTTTGCTTTGCTCTGTACTCTTATGAAAAAAAAAAAAAAAACTTAACCATAGAACATATGACTATATGAAATATCTTGTAGAAAACTGGTTTTTGATCCAAAATCATGATGCAACCGAACTAGGATACTGTTTTAAGCTAAGTAAGTCTAGTTAGATCACAACCGGACTAACATTTGTGTTTACACCAGTAGCTTTGAATAAGTCAAACTTCTTGATAGTCCTTAGCCGAGGTAACCAACCGAACTAGGTTTGCACTTAGCATACTGAGATACCTGAACTCCAACCGATCTAGGCCTTTGGGGCTAAACCAGCTTTCTTAGTTTTTTAGATGGAACTCAGAAAGCTGCCCCTAGGCGATCAATCGGTCAAACAGAACCGTTTCCTCAACCGAGTTATCTTAGACGCTTGCCGTGCCCGAACTAGCAAAGCCCTGCTCAAACCGAGCTACAAATCACCTTGCAGAAACCGAGTTAGAACCTCTAGCATCCATAGCTCCTATTTTTTGTACTTTTATTTTGTAGCACGGTCTAATGATCTGTGCTTAACCCCTTTGTTTTCTACTTTGCAGACTTATGTTGCCCAAGCACTCCTCTGCGTGCTCAACCGAGCTACTGAGACAATCTTGTGGACCGAACTTTAATTTATTCATAAATTATACAATAAATGGGGAAGTATAGGTATCTAGTAGACACTCCAGGCAGCTTAGCCGAATTCAGAAAAGACTACAATATACCTGATGACGTCCACCTGATTTTAGCCGAAAAAGATGTCATTCCTTGGGGCAATGAAGGCTTTGTCCCCTTCACCCTTTTGTCCATAATTGAAACCGGATTACGATTTCCAGTCCAACCCTTGATTTGTGAGTTTCTTAGGTAAACCAGACTATGCCCAACCCAACTATCCACCAATTCATACCGTATAATAATGGGAATAGCCGAACTAAACCGCCAAGAGGGTCTCAACCTCGGTCTGGCCGAAATCTTTCACCAATATTCCATTGGTTCGAAGGAAGACGGCTGGGTGTACTACCTTAGAATACGCCGCCGTCGTGAGAAAATAATAAAAAACACGCCGGATAAAGACTTAAACGACGACGATTTTTTCTGGGTGTTTGAGAATTTTGAGATCATCGCCCAGATTCTTGTATATTTATAAACTGGAAAAAAGGAGAAGCCTGGTAAATTTACTTCGGTTTTCTTGCGTGCTATTTTATATTTCGGTTTGTCAATCTTTCAGCCGAACTAACAGTTGTCTTTTTTCGCAGATTCTGCCCACCTCCATTCTTTGTACAGCTACCCCAATGTAGCGACTTTGCGCGCCGCACTACGGTATCCAGAACGTAGTTGGGCTAAGTTGCTAAAGTTCGAGCCGACCTACAGATACAGCGGCCGCTGAAAAGCGAGAGTGACCGACTTTCTTCTAGAGGAGGCCCCAAAACCGGACCCAACCTTGCCAGAAATCAGACTAATCCCCCTAACTGCTGAAGAAGAAATGGCTAAGAGGAACAGAGTAAGGGCACTTCTTACCGAAACTAACAGACCCGAGGTACCACAAACCGGTCAAACGACTGAGACCGTGGTAGCCCTTCCATCCCAGCAGCCATCCTCATCACGGGCGAACAAGCGTGCCCGGACTAGCCAGACCGAGCAGCGACTTGTTGACGAAGACGAGTCCACCCTTCCACCAAGTCCTCAACCCATCCTTCAACCGGAGCAATTTGACCGAGCTGACTCCTCCAAATGGGCTCCAAATCTCACCTTTCAAGACCGAAATATCCAGGAGATAGACTCGGTCGTTGCTGAGAATGATCACTTGATGGCTTTCAATCTAGCTAAGAGTGTTTGCCTTCTGAAAGATATGGAGCACCATAACAAGCAACTAAACACCGAGCTGAAGGCCATCCGGTCTTCAACAAAATCAATGATCCTGGTAAGTGGCTCTCCCTTTTCTTTGTCTAACTTTTCTCAACTGTCAGTCTGGCTAAAGAGAGTTACTACTCTTTTGCAGGCCATTCAGAAGAACAACATTGCACATAAAAAAGTGCTGGAGCTCCGCAGGACAACCACGCAAGTCATGGCGGATGCCGAGGCAAAGACAGCCGAGCTTGAGCGAACCAAGAAGCAGATAGCCGAGCTACAGTTCGAGAACGGTCACTTGACCGGACTTGTTAGCTCGGCTGAAGCTGAAAAACAAAAAATTGCAGCAACGGTGAAAGACAAGTACTTGCGCGAGTTGGTCAAACTCGAAGGCAAAGAAGACGCCGAAATAGCCGATCTGAAGAAGAAGGTCGGTGACGCCAACGCCCAAGGTTTCAAAGAGGCGGAGGGCCTCTACATTCCGCAGTGCGAGGGGGCGAAGGACTTATTCTTCAAGTGTGGCTGGAGGAGTGTTGTGGAACAACTCGGCTGTGGGCCTGAAACCGAGGTCTACAATGCTCCACAGTACTTCATTCCAGCCTCACTAGCGGAATATGCTGCTTCGGTCCAAGAACAATTTCTGCAGGACTCAGATGATGAAGACGATGAAAACGAACAAACTGCTACTCCGGTAGTCAACGATCAATCAACTCGGTTGGAGGCAACGGTTGAAGACCTGACTGTTGAGCCATCGACTGCTATCGTTCTGCCGGTTGCTACTGAGACGGATCTTCCATCTGCAACCGGCGTTCAAGTTGACATTGACGCCGAAATTGAAGACCTTTTCTCTTGATTTTGTACTTTTCTTTTTTGTTACTTCTTTACTCTTGTAACCGGGCTATGGCCCCTCCTTTGTATTTGCGTTTTGATGAATGAAGATTTTCTTGAACTCTTACTTCGGTTGATCTGCATGTTTGTACTTGTAATGATTTTTCCATGATCTTTTTACTTCCAACTTTTATCTCGGTTTTTGCTGGTCAAACTAACTATGCTTACCAGCCAACCACTCCTTAGCCGACATAATTACTTCGGCTGAGGAGTACACAGAGTTGGTTTAATCCAGCCAACCACTCTTCAGCCATACCCTTACTTCGGCTGAAGAGTACAAAGAGTTGGTTTAATCCAGCCAACCACTCATCAGTCATACCCTTACTTCAACTGAAGAGTACAAAGAGTTGGTTTAATCCGGCCAACCACTCTTCAGCCATACCCTTACTTCGGCTGAGGAGTACAATGAGTCGATTTAATCCAGCCAACCACTTCTTCAGCCATACCCTTACTTCGGCTGAAGAGTATAAAGAGTTGGTTTAATCCAGCCAACCACTCTTCAGTCATACCCTTACTTCGGCTGAAGAGTACAAAGAGTTGGTTTAATCCAGCCAACCTCTAAGTTAGTTTTCCAGCCAACTTAGAATAATGTTTGGTTATTCCGACCAAACGTCCTGCAGCCTGGATCCTTATCCTGGGCTTAAGAAGGGTGTTGGTTTAATCCAGCCAACCTCTAAGTTAGTTTTTTCCAGCTAACTTAGAATAAAATGTTTGGTTATTCCGTCCAGACGTCTTGCAGCCTGGATCCTTATCCTGAGCTTAGGAGGGGTGTTGGTTTATTCCAGCCAACCTCTAAGTTAGTTTTTACAGCCAACTTAGAATAATGTTTGCAATATTCCTAACTTCATTAAAGCTATCTTTTACTGAGAACAACGTATGCTGAAAAGAATCGATTTGTTTTATTGAGGAAAGAAAAAAAAAATTACACGTGTTTGAAAGCTAAAAATAAAATAACTTGAGATTAGCGGTGTTCCATGGTCTAGGGATTGTTTTGTCGTCCTTGTCTTCTAGGTGGTATGCCCCTTTGCCTGCTAGTCCAACCACTTTGTAAGGACCTTCCCAATTTGGCCCTAGTTTACCATCTCCTGGTATCAAGGTGTTTCCCATCACTTTGCGTAGTACCCAATCTCCGATCTTGAATTGTCTTGGATGCACCATTTTGTTATATTTCCTGGATAACTCTTGTTGATACGAGGCAATGTGGACTAGTACTTTTTCTCTTCTTTCTTCGGCAAGGTCGAGCTCAAATGTTATGGCCTCTCCATTTAAGTCGGGATCAAAATTTTCGCTTCGAATTGTGGGGAGGCCAATTTCCAGTGGGATTACTGCTTCCATTCCATAGGCTAAGGAGAATGGTGTTTCTCCTGTTGATCGTCGCGGTGTGGTGCGGTAAGCCTATAACACATGAGGAAGTTCTTCCGCCCAGTTGCCTTTGGCTTTCTCCAACCTTTTCTTCAACCCATCCAAGACTACTTTGTTTGAAGCTTCTGCCTGTCCATTTGCTTGGGGATATGCCGGTGTAGAATTATAGAACTTTATTTTGTATTCTTCACAAAAGCCTCTGAAGATTCTACCGTCGAACTGAGTGCCATTGTCTGAGATTAGGGCTTTTGGTATTCCAAACCGAGTGATGATATTTTGCCAGACAAACTTTTTCACATCTCTTTCCTTGATTGATGCCAATGCTTCTGCTTCCACCCACTTTGTGAAGTAGTCTGTTGCTGCGAAAAAGAACTTTCTGTTGCCGGGTGCTGTTGGAAGTGGTCCTACTATGTCCAAGCCCCACATTGCGAAAGGCCATGGGCTAGTTAATGGTTGGAGTTCTCTTGCTGGTTGATGTATTTGGCATGCGAATTTTTGGCATTTCTCACACTTCTTCACATATTTCTCTGAATCTGCCTGTATGTATGGCCACTAGTATCCTTGTGAAATGGCCCTGTAAGCTAGCGATCTTCCTCCTTGATGGCTTCCGCACACCCCTTCGTGTATCTCGTACAAGAATGCTTCCACTTTGCTGGGGTGGACACACTTTAGATAGGGTCCTGAGAACGACTTTTTGTACAATGCCAAAGATAGGGAGAGCCAAAATCGTTGTGACTTTGCTCTAATTTTGTTAGCTTCTTTCTTTTCTTCTGGTAGGATGCCGTCTTTTAAGAATAGTATGATGGGATCCATCCATGAGGGGCCTAGTTCTGTGCAACATACCTCTTCTGCTTCGGGGTGCTCAATGCTTGATCTAGGTAGGTAGTCAATCAGTAGTGGATGAGGGATGTAGGTGTCTGCCATGGAGGCGAAGCCTGCTAGTTCGTCTGCTCTACTATTTTCCTCCCTGCCGATTTGTTCTATCCTTACAATTTCGAATTTCTTGATCTCTGTTCTGACCAATTCTTGGTACTTGGCCATCCTGTCATCCTTTGCTTCATAGTCGCCAGAAATTTGGTTTACCACCAGCTGTGAGTCGCTGTAGACCATTAATTCGATGGCCTTCATCTGGTATGCTGATTTGAGTCCTGCTAGAAGTGCTTCATATTCCGCTTCGTTGTTTGATGCTGGGAAGCCAAAGTTAATTGCTTGCTCCACAACCAGGCCGTCTGGTGAGATGAGGACTATCCCAAGTCCTGCACCATGCCAGTTGGATGCTCCATCCACAAAGAGTTTCCACATCTCACCAACGAACAACTTCCAGCAAGTGGAGGGGTCGGATGATGTCGTGGGGTCAAGAATGTTGCTGGTGTTTTCTTCAAGGTCCATGCTTGCTGTCTGCCCCTCGCTATCTGATTGTACCAAGTCTTTATTTGTTGGTGAGGGTCTGTTTGTTGGTAGCTGGTTCTTCTCCTGCGTCTTTAGTCTGGTCCTTGGAGTCTGAACTGAGTACCTTCTGCTAGGGTTGCGCTATTCCGGCGTCAACTTCATCCTAGTTCGGATGTGTCAGTTAGGTCGACTGGGCAAAATATGATGACTTCCAGGAGTAAACTCTGCACGAAGTCTGCCAAAGATTGGGTTTACTGCAGTTCTAGGTAAAACTTGACGTCGAATTGTCCCAGCTCTAACTGCCCCACTTCAAAATCGCCCAGAAAAGTTCGCCCTCTCAAACAAAGCTTTTAGTGAAAAGTTGTGAGGACAACTATGGTGTGGGCGTGAAAGTAGTGTGCCAATTTCTGGAGGCCATCATAAAGGCCAATGCAAGTTTCCAATGGCAAGTACCTTGTTTGGCTCCTAGCAATGTCTTGCTGACATAATAGATGGCAGATGTTGAATTCCTTCCGCACGGACCAACACTGCGCTAATCTGCGTCGAGAGACTGCAAGGTATAGGAAGAGTTCTTCTCCGGTATTGGGGTGACCAGCAATGGTGGGAGGACATGTATTCTTTCAGGCTTTCTAGTGCTTGGTCGCATTCTCGTCCCCATTCGAACTTGCTTTTAAAGCTTGAAAGAATTGCGTAGTCTGTCTGACGATCGGCTGATGAATCGGTTGAGTGCAGCCGCCATGCCGTGAGATGTTGTACTTCTTTACTGAGTTTGGTCTTTCCAACTCCTGAATTGCTTTGATCTGGGAGGGTCCGCTTCTATACCCCGGTTGGTCACAAGAAGCCAAGAATTTGCCAGATCCTACCCGAATGCAGCACTTAGATGCGTTGAGGCGCAACTTGTGCTTCTTCAGGATATCAAACATCTCTCCTAGGTCCTTGAGATGGTCATTTTCATCCTTGCTTTTGACCACCATGTCGTCGATGTAAGCCTCCATTGTTCTTCCTAACAATGGTTCAAACATCTGGTGACCATTCGTTGGAATGTTGCCCCTGCGTTCTTCAGGCCAAATGGGCATGACCTTGTAACAGTATAGTCCCTTGGAGTTGTAAAGGATGTGACCTCCTGGTCTGGTTCATGCATGGCGATTTGGTGGTAGCCTCTGTATGCATCCAGAAAGCTAAGTCGGTTGTGCCCACCGTTAGGTCTACCAGTTGATCTATCCGTGGTAGAGGAAAGCTGTCTTTTGGGCACTGTTGACTGTTTTGTAGTCGACGCAGACACGCCATTTGCCTTCTTCTTTGGCACTACGACCTGTTGGAGACCATTTTGGGTAGTGCACTTCTCTAATTGCTCCTACCTCCAGCAAGTTACCTATTCTTCGCCACTATTCGGGCAATGGTGAAGTGCCGATCTTGCGAGTGCGCCTGAATGACTGGTCTGGCGGATGGGTGGAATTTGAGTTGGTGACAAATGAAGTTTGGATCAATGCCTGGCATGTCGTAGGGTGTCCAGGCGAACACCGATGTTAGAGGATTCAGGAATTCCAAGGACCTCTAATCTCTCGAGTGCTGGACAACGACGAAACCAAGCAAAAAAACTTATCCAGGGTTCTTTTTCATCTATTTTTACCTCTACCAAGTCCTCCACTACTTTCTGTCCGCCGCTTTGCGACATCTGCGAATAGCTCATTATCTCAGGTTCTTTCACGAATGAACGTATCCTTTGCAGCGCGGCTGCCATTCACCGTTGACGAAGCATTGCTTTGTTGACATGGATCTATTCTCCCAATAGACTTCTTCAATTACACCGGTGTCGTTGGGGAACCGCATTACTTGGTGGTAGTGATGACGCCACCGATCGCATGGCATGCCAGCCGATGTTCTGCCAAATATGATGTTGTAAGTGGAGGGGACCTTCAATACCCAGAACTCCATTTGTTTCGTCCGCCTCCTGCTCTAACTGAAGAATTATTTGCCGACGGGCCATTCTGGCATAGAATTGAATCCAATTAGGGGTGATACAGCAGGCGCCAAGTCTTTGTCTTGTAGCTTTAGTTGTTTAAAATGTTCGTAGTAACATGATTTCACAGAACGCCCGGTCAATCGAATCCGCTTGACGTCCAAAATCCTTAGACTCTGAGGTGACGACCAGAGGTATCATTATGAGGGCAATATATCCGTTCTAAGTCTTTATTCACGAAAAAGACATGACGTTGTTGCCTCTGTCTTTCCCCTTCTTGGTGCAGTTGGGCACTTAACACCTCTCTAAGTGTTCAGCCTTTTTGATTGATGCCTCTGAGCTCGCATTACACCCTCAGGTTCAAAGATTCCATGATATCTGATAACGCTTGAGCTGGTGAGGCGTCGACTGGACATCCCGTTGGGGTTATTGTGATCCTGGGGGGCTGGTTCGTCCTCCTCAATGTACTTATCCAGTGGCTTGCTGCCACCAACTCCTCCAGGTCCTGTCTCATATGCGTGTGCATTTCAGTGCGGGTTGTCTCTTTTCTTTATGGAAGGTGACCGTGATCTTTCGTCATAGTCCTTCTAGCCGCTTCCCCTAGTTGGCTTTGGCACTTCGACGAGCTCATCTCTTTTTCGCGTCAGAATCCGATATATCGGTTTCCTTGAACACCGTTGGTTATCGGCAGTGCGGGATTCTTCCAACCATCTTTTATCCGGGTTTCTCCGTTTATCCTGATATGCCACGTCCGTTCTGTTTACTTCGATCTACCGTGTTGACCTTTTGGCTGAGGTCTTTTTTCTAGTGAACTGTGGATTGCCCAATTTTGCTTTGGCAAGTGCACCAATCCTCTTCTTACCCTGATGTGCTGGGCCTCTTTCCATCAAGGCTTCCTATGGTGTGAAGGGCGCGTCATGGGTGGATGAGTCCCTTTAGTTCTCGTTCCCGACTGGAAGCCTCCTTTTTATTGTGCAAGGCGAATTGGTGGGGCAGTCCCAATCTAATTGAATGTCTACACAGTTGCGACTATTGTAAGATTCTTAGGGGTCTCTTATTGTCGCCCATGTCGATGGAGAGTAGCTGGTCGATCTCCACTGGTGTTTTGGTGTTTGTTCGGAACCTTGTTACGAAGGCCTCTGCCAATTGCGCCCAAGAGGCTATGCTGCCCTCTGGAAGTTTCTCGAACCAAGTCAAGCCTAGGTCGCCAAGGTTAGATGGGAAGAGTATGCACATTAAGGCCTCGTTTCGCCTATATACAGCCATGACCTGGCGAAAGTGGCTCAAGTGTGAGTAGGAGTCCGTCTTCCCTTCATATGTAGTGAATTTTAGCTGAAGGAAGCCTGATGGTAGGGGCGCGTTTTCTATTGCCGGAACAAACGGCGAAGTCTGCAGCCTTGCCAATGCTTTGTCCGTTGGTTCGTAGGCAGGGCGCGGTATTGGCATTCCAACCTCGACGCTTCCATGCGTCCGAGGAGCCAACCGCTGTAAGGCAGAAACTCTGTGTGGATCCCGTGCCCTGGCATCCTCCTTGCATCGTGCTTTTTCTTCGAGCACGGTTCGTAAGTCGGATGATCTGGGTAACTCCGTCTGTCTAGATCTGGTTTGGTGCGTATGTGAGGGCCAATACGTGCTTCCTTCAGTGTATGATCTTTCAGATCTCGTCCTCTCAGACCTGGAGTGCCGAGTTTTGGAAGACCAGGATTGAGTATCGCCTGTCCTGAGGCCTCTACTCTCTCCTTACGAGGGTGTGGTATTCCTACTATGATTTTCTGAGTGGCGAGGGGGCGTCTTGTTTTTGTGCCCCTCTCCTGTCACCACTTCTTTTCTCTTCATCTGGCGCTTTAAGGCCTCCATGTCTGCCGCCATCTTCCTTATTAATTCATCTTGCTCCTTCACGCGGTCTTCCAGAGCTTGAGGATCAATCATCCGTCTTTGCCTGTCAGGACTTTGCGAGCGAGATTGACGGGGCTGTGAGTTCGTCTTCCCCTAGTATCTCTCTTGGGGTTATGTCGTTGGGGCTCCAAATCTTCTATGGGAGGGATAGAAGGTAATCCTTCACGCCTTGCTCCCCCGTCTGGAGTTTGCCCGTCGATGGTGGAATGTGGCAATTCTTCAATGTGCGCCATTGTTTGTAAAGAGGAGAAGCTTTTAGTCAAGAGGTTTTGTTCTGTCTGTAATTCCCACAGACGGTGGCAATTGTACGGGAAAGAAATAAACCTTCTCGTATAATCCTGTTGACCAAGTCTACTCTCCTCCGTACGTCGTCGCTTTATCACCTGAAAACACAAACGTGAGCTAGCCGGCGGGTGTGTGCTGGAAACCTCTCCGATGCCTAAGTCAGTAAACTTGACAAATAGACAAAGGCTCTGTGTATTCAGAAAGCAAAGTTGTGTGTTACCTCTCCAAAGGTGATGTTGTAAGCTTTTATAGGTTTCGTGTGGCATAATCCTAGTAGGACTCCTACTCCTCCATACAGAGTCCTCCTAGGATTCATACTCCTGAAAGATAATGATTATCCTTCAACACCCCCTCACTGCTTAAACCAAGTGAGATGGTTATTACCATAGCCAAACTCTCACATGACCGCAGTAATCATGGCTATGCTGAGCCACAGAGTAAGCCGTACTATCCTTAGTTCGGTTCTTCATTCTTCTCTTTATCTCGATTCTCATATGTACAAACCATGGTATGTTTAGACCGATCTACCGAGTAGCAAGGTTCTGACCGTTCTAACCATAATACGTCATGACCGGACTAACTCTGAGACCGGCCTAACTCCTAGTTGCTTCCGGACCGGAGTAACTTTACATTCCTCGGCCGGAGTAATTTTGTACCTCTCTCGGGCCGGAGTAACTTTTACGGCCTTTTTACTCAGCCCTTCGTATTGTGGACCATAATGTCATCTCTCAGCTCGGCCCAATTTTACAAAAATTACCCTGTCATATATATATAATGTTTTCTGAAAATTAGATTTGTTGATGTTTTGGAGCTCAGGTGCCTTTGTCTTGTCGAAAGGGTCATTGTTGCAAGTGATTTGCAAGAAAATGCAAATGTCAATGCAAGTGATGTCTTACTGAATCGTGGTAAAAATAAATAAATAAATAAAAATAAAATAGCAGTGACATCTTATCTCTCCCATAAGGTTTTTTCATTTTTTGACTCGTGAGGGTGTCCGTGACTTTGTTGTACATATAATAATGCATAATCACTTTATCTTATTATATTTCATTTGAATAATATTATATGTATTAATTTGTACATTAATTATTGTATCAATTGATGATGTGACATAATTTAAGAGATTTTTAATATTTGTAATGTGATTAATGAGTGGGATTAATAATAATGTTATAACTAGTGTCGATACACTAGTTAGTACATGTAATATCACCGATTTCATTTATCATCGGATACGTCACACCTTGTATGAGAAGTGACATTTTTCTCAAATAAAATAATTATTTATAAAAATAAAAGTTGTTAACTTTTTTGTTCTTAGAGCACATATTAAGATTTAAAAAGATTATACGTTCTATCAAAAATGAGTATAATAAAAAATATATAATTATTTTAAGTTTCTTAACATGTAACTTAAGAACACGCGTTAAAAAGACACCATCCATATTATGAAAATCATCTCACACTAAATAGTCATTTATGTGAGAAAATTTAAATAGCCTTATAATAAATAAATAACTTAAAGAAATAATTATAATTTAAAAGAAATAAAAAAAAATTAAAGAAAAAAAAGTAGTTAATAGTGTAGAAGAATAATCAACTAAATTAACTAGTTAGTTGGAAATACCAAACTATGAAACAACATGCAAAACTGTCCATATCCAAACAATAATATTATGATAATTAATTATGCTTATTTATCATTTTATATATATTAGTACTATATTTTTTATAATTGTTACAACCTAATAAACTAATGCAACTATAACAACCTGACATAACAATCAAAACCTGGACACAACCGTTCTGCTCTTTCAATTTCACCTCACTGGAACTGAAAGACCCAAACAAATGGCGGTTTCACTCAACCTTTACAACTGCTCTGTAAACTCTCCAATTGCAAACCCTAATTTCAATTCCCTCAAATTCCCCATTAATCCAAACAATGAATTCTTCTTCTCCACTTCGATCTTCAAAAAGGTAATTGCTTTTCTCAAACCCCCAATTCTTCAATTCCTCATTCATATAAACAATCTATCTTCAACCCTTCTGTAGAAACATCGTCTTCGCCGGAGACCATCCTCAATCTTCAATGAATTCGAGAACGACTCGGACCAGAGCAACCTTCACGGTAAGCCTCTCTCTCTCTCTCTACGAAAGGGTAGAAAGGATTTTCCTGCAACAAAAAAAAATAAAATAAAATAACTTTCGATTGGCTCAATTTTGACCTTTAATTTTAGATTTTGTATTAATTTGATCTAATTGATAATGATGCTAGTGTTTTTAAAGGAAAATTATCATTGAATTGATTGAGGTTAAAGTTGAACAACTTCTAAAAGAATGTCATATGTAACTTGTGTGCATATTTTTCATTAAAAAATAGTAACAATTGTAAGCAATTGGACAAAATAAAGATAAAGTCATTAATTCAAAGTCAAAATCGAGCAAATTAAAATTATAGGGACCAAAATGACATAAAAACTAAAATATAGGAGCTATCGGCACAAAGTACCCAAAATTTAATTCTGGAATGTGTTTTCAATCAGAAGAAGAGGTGAATAATCCCGGGGTTAAAGTTGCCTTATCTATGCTGAGGTTCTACAAAAGTGAGTTCTTTTCACCCTTATAGAATAATAATTACCTCAATTTCTTATTTGGGATTAGTGTGTGTGTGTGTGTGTGTGTGTTAGGGTTAATTATTTTGATTGAAGTTAGGGTAAGAATGAGAATGGTTTTGATCCTTGAGCAGGGGAAATCTCGCCCTTGCTGCCGAATAGTTGTCGATATGTGCCAACTTGTAGTGAGTATTCCATGATTGCTTACAAGAAGTATGGAGTTGTTAAGGGGACCGTCTTGACTGTGTGGCGCCTCTGTCGCTGCAATCCCCTCGGTAATGCTACTTCTAATTAATTGAAGTCTTCTATGCATCATAAGAATGAGATACAATACCGCTTTCAATCCCTTTTTTTTTTTTTTTTTTTTGGTTGTTAGTGTGTTTTGTGGAGTTGTTCTGTGGCATTTCAAGGAAGTTAATTGGACTTCTTTTTTTCTTTTTTTTTTTACTATTAAAACTCTGGAAGTGACAAAAGCAGTCTCTCTTTTGCTCTCTAAATCGTTGACTATATATATATATGTATGCTTATAGACATGAAGTACTTAATGTATGTCAGGTGGGTCTGGATTTGATCCCCCAAGATGGTTTGATGAGACAAGTACACCAGATCAATGAGACTATTCATAGTTAGCATACCAAAGCAAAGGTAATCACTTTTCCTTTCCATTCAATTAAAACATTATCAAACATTTTTCATTATGTTACCATTGTTGAATTGTAGGCTGATAACAGATGAATTGCTTGAATGCAGTCTTTGGTTTTTTCTCTGCTCCAATTTTATTTGACCAATATGTGTTAAGATAAATTTTATGGTTTCGCTTTGTCAGTTATGTAATTAAAACACATGAGTATGAGTTGTAAAAGTACAAGGCTTTGAGTGGCAACTATTAAAGTACTTGGATGGTCTTGAACATCAATGTAGCACATTTATACTTATTGACGCCATTGTGTTTTTTTGACAACAGTTCTGAGTTCAGCTAGAAAATTGGTAACCTTGTTAATCTTTTTCATAGTTTGGTCCATTACTCAACCAGATCTCCATACTGAACAAAGCAATCGCAAAAAGTTACTGATTCTAGTTACAAGCACAACCCTGAGTCTGTAGATATAAGACATCTTACAGTAGTGGAAGAAGCAAATAGGTTATTGGATTATCTTTGCACTTGCATATAAAGCAACAGGACGAAGAATATTCATTTTGGACTTATTGGATCTTATTTTGTCAGATATTCACTGCTGGTGTTAATTTGATGTTGATCATATATATATAATATATTTGGGATTTTAATTTGATCAAAGTTTGAAAAACATAAAAGAAAAGTGCATGGTTGATTCTATAAAGTAATCGTCTCCTCATTGACTCGACACAATTATCAAAACCAACAATTATGATACTTTTTTACTGCTGATAACCAACAGTTTATTTATTTACTTTATTCTTCCTGATATCTGGGAACTTCTATTGCTACATGTGCACGCTCAAATGGAGTTCAGCACTCCCACCCCCAAGAAAAAATAACTAGTTGGCTGCCCTTGTTACCTGGGCAGCACCAATGCCAATAAAGCAACTGGGTTTTGATTCTTGAAAGACTACCATCTCTTTGATCACAATTTAGTAACCGGGGACATATGTTTCCGATGTTGCTAGAGAACAGGAGATAAATATGAAGTAGTGTACTGTATCTAATTCTTTGTCATGTTAAAAAGTCAAAATCACCCCTTCCTATGCCAAAAAAAAAATAAATAAATAATTGATCACAGATTGTCATTGTTTTTCACATATATAGAAATACATCTATCTAGATATATGTTTTATTAGGTGTGAAATGGAGCGCAACTCACACTTGGATCTGGCCAATCATCACATGCCACATGGTGTCGACTTCAAACTCTGGTGGTTGACTGGGGGTGGTTCAACAATCTTTCCACTGATAGTACATTGGAATATAGCAATGAATCTCTATTGGCATCAGGGTGTTCGGAGTAACCCCATGTTAACATTAGGACCTTATGCTATGTTCAGGAAGCGGGTGTTCCAGTAAGGATCTAGCAATGATGTAAGGACATACCTACCCTAGGAATTATGTCTTTTACCTTGCTACTTGTGCAGTGTTTCCTTCTAATACTATTTCTGAATCAAAGTGACCTGATTATTTCTACTTGAAATATTTACCTTATTAATTTCTCTCCTTTGCCAAGTGCATTTTCTTCATCAAACTGTCTGTGTATTGTTTGTATTACTTAAAGGCAGTCATAAAAGTGCTTACTTTTAAGAATCAATGAAATCAACATCATGAAACAAAATATTATGGAGACAATATAGTGGTCCCTAATAACAAAGCACTTATGACTTGCTTTGCTTCTGTGTATATTGGAAGTCCAATCCAATGCCAGTAACGTGCCCTTCACAATGGACAACCGCACCACTATCCTCTCTCTCTCTCTCTCTCTCTCTCTCTCTCTCTCTTATTCATGAATGTCCATCCAACTTTTTTGATCTGGTCTGAATCAAATTATGTGTATGAGCCTATTATTACCTGAAACATGGATCGTTTCAGTTCTTAATGGAATTGTGATACGTCATATATTCTAAAATGTGGTATAAGAAGAATAGATTTGTATATATTACACTTTAAAATATAAGATACTTCTAGAATAATTTTCTTTAAACTATTAGGTATTCAATATATATATATATATATGTATATATTCATTTTTGATATTTTTGTCTTGTCAAAACATTAGTTATTGTAGACCTAGTTCATTATATTTGATTTTTTTTCCTTCTAAGGTAATATTTATGCTGTGTTTGGTTGGGGGGTTTTGAGAAGAGATTTGGAAAATGAAAAGAAAAAAGTGTGTGAAACTAAATAAAATATAATTATATTTTATTCACATTTCACATTTCTTTTCTATTTCCCTTTTGAAATCATTTTCTAAATCCCCTAACCAAACACATTAAGGAAATATATTAGAAAAAAAAAATATTCGGATCGCTTTGGATCACTAATATTATGTTTGGTTGGGGGATTTGAGAAGAGATTTAAAAAAGGAAAGAGAAAAGGTGTGTGAAACTAAGTGAAATGTAAATATATTTTATTCATATTTCATCTACCTTTTCCCTTACCATTTCTAAATTTCTCTGCAAATCTCTCAACCAAACATAGTATAAATTTACTATTTTAAAACGAAAGTGTATCATGTTTCAAGACATGTGTATCAATACATAATTCGATAGGATATTAGCCTTTTATGATCACAAAGGTATGAGCTGCATATTGATTAATGTGCATCCAAGCTGAGTTGCTCGCGTTATGCTTGTTTGCATCAAAATCATGTAAACTTCTCTTTCACAGGGTGAGAAGTGTGCATCACTAATATTTGATGCGTGGCATTGTCATTTCCCGAAACTTGTATACTATTTTCTTTCTTGATCATGACTTGCGAAATTGAATGGCAGAAACAACCACCACTGGCCAAATAGAACACGCAAAACAACTAACCCAAATTCACCCCATCTCTGCAGCCAAAGAAAACCCCTTGTTCTCGCATAATTCTAAAACTGCAGAAGTCTCTGGCATTTCTAAGAGGCTAACAAAACAAATCCACACAGCCCTCTCTCTCTCTCAAATAGCCGTGAACACTTCTCATCCCAACATGCCTACATTAATCCCTCTGCATCTCCATCCATGCAGTTTCTCATCATCTTAATCAGAAGACACAAAAAGCTCTAATAAGGATGTAGTTGAAGAAAATTCAGGACGCGATAACATGACAAAAACAAACATGAATCCCCCATGGTCCCCCCAACAACTTTTGTTAATTTTTTTTATTTTGGGTATTTAAGGGTGCCCGCAAAATGTTGTTCAGAACCTCTTATAGAAGAAACTAGGTAAAGGAGGGGTCGTTTGGCTGGTACGGATGTTCACACTCCAGCCTTATTTACGCAAAAAAGCATTAGCATACTAAAATTATTATTTTCTTAGTAGATGATGATTGAAAGCTCTAGAGATGGCAACATAGAAGGGGGACAAAAAGGAAGCTTTGGAGGTGTAATTTTTTATAATTATTAAGCCCTCTCTGAATTCTGTCTTTGTGGGGAACTTTAACTAGATTAATGTGCAAAGCCAGCTAACTCAGAGCAAATGCAGGGCTCAAAAATCGGCCGAGGCGAGAAAAAGATCAGAAAAGTATCAGTAAAAAAATGGCCCTACTTTTGTAGTAACTTCCCTCAATACCATTTTTGGTTTCCAAGAAGAACAAGTAACTGTGTTGAATAATTTTCCTAAGGATCTGCCAAGGCTCATGTATTGAAATAAAACCCACAAATCATATGATAAGTTAGCACAAAGAGGCTGATAATAACTGCTAAAGAAGTTTTAACCCTGCTTTCCGTCATTTCTGAGTGAAATACAAAATATTATCTGAATTCACAAATACAGACCAGGATATATTCACACTACATGTGTACACTCCAGGGGGGAGAGAGAGAGAGAGAGAAGATTGCGAAAACAGGGGAAAAAACAGCCTGTAGTAGTTCAAACTGCATTATGTAACAGACTATATATGTCAGATTTTAGTTATGATACAGCATGCGTTCAAAGAACTTAATCCTAACCAAAACATCTATTGAACCACGAGTGCTCAAACCAAATCAATGACGGCCCTTTTCTTGGCATGATTAAAAAGCAGCTAAACATCAAAATCATCTGCCATTCACCTGATGGATTAGCAAATCCATCAGTTGAAAGTAAAATAAATTGAGCAATAGAGAAAAAAAAGAAGAAGAGAGAAACTAGATTTAAACCAGAAAACAGCTTACTTTTGGTTAGTCAAGTAGTCCTGCAAATATGTGAGAAGTAAAAGATTTTTTAGTAGTGAGTGAATACTAGTAATTAAGCCTTTCACTAAACAGGTTTCCAACAAGAAAGGGCATAAATGATTCGCCCTTTCCATCCCTGCAACAGCCACTGGCTATCTTCATCAATCATAAAATCCTTATGGTAGCTCGACCTCACCTTCTCTGTCGCCCTCAACATGATGTCCCTGTCGAAAGGGAGCTGCATGAAGCCTGACCTCAAATTGCGAACCTGCCATTGCTTATACGTCTCCGGCCTCTCAACTCTCTCCCACCCCTCACAAGCTATAACGTTCAGAGCTTCCTTCGCTAAGACCTCCCTTTCAATGAGCATCCTCTCATGATACTCACGAGGTACATTTGTTTCAAGCATATCAAACAGTGCTGAGAAGTAGAACAGAGCTTCTTTGAACCGGGTAACAAAGAATGGGGCATTGTAGGCCCCATTGATAATCCCGTGGATGAAAATATCAGGATTGGTCCTTCTTATCAGATTGAGAACAATGTTTCTTGGACTGTCCACCATCACAGTCTCATCTGTAGGGTCTTAGCCCGATACAAACAATTGACAACAAGGAACTCATCCTTCTCGATCTTTAGATCCACCAGTTTGATAGTATCCCATTTCTTCGCTATGGCGTTGAACTCAAATGGGACATCAAAACTCTGAGCATAATCAGCCAATCGATGCCCCGTCTCCTCAACTCCCGCTGCTGGCCGGAAACCTGGTTGAGGAAATTCTATCCCAGTCATCCGAATCTTTGGAGGCCCACCCTGTCTTGTTGAGATACGTTGAATAAAGGTGGGCCACTGGAAACCGTAGAGAACACCAAAATCTATTATGTGAAGCCTCGTTGCGTTCTCTGCCTTTGCCATTATCGTCTTATTGGAGACAAAATTTGAAATCTTCCTGAATGGGCACGATGCAAGAAATAGCCGGTAAGCTTTCAAGTAATCAGCAGCAGATGTTCTTTTACTGACAAGGGCTTTGTAAATCTGGCTACCAGTGCCAACCAAACGTGCCTCAAGGCCATTAGCAACGTAATGAGCCAATCTTTGAGTTCCGTCCCCAATAGGCGAAGAATGCTGCCTGATTTGCTTTAGCAAATCATTCGCACTCCTATGATCGTCGGCTGCAATAGTTTGTGCACAATTAATCAATAGAGTTCTCAAATCTACCACTTCCTTTTTCTTGTTTTGTTTCTTACCACGAGCCTTTCCACGCCCATTCTGCTGCGTTTTCTTGTCTGTTCCGTTCTTCAAGGCTTCACGAAAAGTTTGAAAGGCACCTTTCCCCTTCCCACAAAGCAAGACTTCATCAAACTTCTCCGACCGCACAATCGCCTCCGGAAAAACCGCCGCCTGCTTCCTACTCCTCTCTTCTTCTAGATCTACATATTCACGGTGAGGATTCTTCCTCCCAGTCAACCCAGTCGGCGACAACTCGCTCTCCTCTTTTTTCTCCCCCTTAACCACCATTTCACTAGGTTGCCCATTGCCCTCAAAATTAATTAACACTTCACTATTTCTTGGCAAGAACTTACTCGCTTCTTTGACCCCCTTCCTAAACTGCCAAATTGATTGGCTTAAATCAGAATTCTGAAGAGGGCCTATTGGAGAGTCCAAGAACCCATCAAGAATATTGTTCGCACTATTCGATAAACTAACTGATGAGTGGGAATTATACATATGAACACTTTGTACCAGAGAGGTACTATCATCAACTTGATTGTCAATCCAGCTTGGTTCAACCAAGCAATCACTACAATTACTCTGATTCCTAGACAAATAATTATCTGGGTTATCGCTAATTTGATTGATGTAACTCCAGTTTTTATCAGGAGAAGGCGGGTATTTCTTGCCGAGGACATCATAGAATGACTTCTCTGCAGCTTGAAGGTCCAAAGACTCTTGAAGCATGCAAGTCTTGTCTTCCATATCTTCTTCCATTAGAATCTGACTTATGTATCCCAAAACAGCGTCGGAGAAATCACAATCCTCGTGAGGATCGTCCTCCGAAGTCACAGTTGAATTCGAGACTGTATTACTCAATGAGGGATCATTTGGAAGGAATGGGATTCCTCCAAAATTGTGATTTAAAAAAGTGTTTCCCAATCTTGGTTCATCTACTACGTTTTGGTCTGACAAAAAAGATGACACAGATTGATTCCCCAAGCGGACTCCATTCATGGAATCCGAAAACCCTCCAAGCCTCGGATCCATTATCTACCTAAATTCAACTTCAACACCTCTCAAATTTTAAGAAACAAATTTCTCAAGTCCCAAATACAGTCAAATAAGTGTATTTGGTTTTTTTTAATTTTTTTTTTT